GTCCAATTACAAAGTAACAATTTCATTAAATACCTCATTTTTTCCACAAATATCCCTACTTTATATCACATCATTATTTTTATGCCAAAAAAGTAAGAGCACAAACGTCATTTTACTACTTTTACCTAGTAACTATAATTAAAATATTATTATTCCTTAATCTCCGGGCCAAAAGTAATTGTATACTTTTAGCTTGAACGGAGGGAGTATTACAAAATATTGAAATAATTTTTGATGAATTTATTTTTAGGATAATATTTATATTTAAGACATATATGTTCTCATACACTTATATATATTCGAAACAAATATATAATTATTTTATATTTACTGTTTTTTTATTATTTTTATCCAATATTATTTTAATAATTTATATAAATCGTGTATCGCACGGATTTATACGTTAGTATTTATTAATTAAATTCACTGGTCCACCGAAATAAAATAATCAATTTTTTTTTCTGCAATTATATATATATATATATATATGTAATTTCATTCTTTATTCTAAACGCATCCTATAAATAATACTCCATCCGTCATTTAAATCTATTATCACTTTTCTTTTTTTGGTTGTTATCCAAATTTATTTCCGTTTCTTTTTTTAAGTAAAAAAATATTCTCTCCGTCCCACATAATTTGTCCCTATTTTCTATTTTCTTCCGTCCCACATAATTTATCCTTTCTTTTTTTTTGGAAAATTAATTATACATTTTAATCATATTTTAAAATTTAAAATTTAATGTTTTTTAATCTTAATTAAACTATTTTGTTATTTTAATCTTAATCTATAATTATTTTTACTAAATAATAATTATTTTTACTAATACACTTCCAAATTACTTACTAATTATACTTTATGTAAATTCTTGTGTCTACAATAATACACTCATATTACATGGGACGGAGGGAGTACCACTTTTCTTTACAAAAAAAAGTAAAAAAATTATTTTTACATATTTTTCTTAAAATCCGTGCCCGGTCAAATGAGTACACAATTGGATGATGCATGGAGTATTAATAAATAGAAAATGCGTAATTAGTGGTGGGACCATATATTTTATTTAAGATACCTGTTCTTCAGCGTACTTTGTGACAAAGCATCATTTTGTGTATATAAATATAAATAGCCACGTTTTTATACAATAGATTATCATCTTACAAGCATTGATAATAAATCTCATATTATAGTATTGCCTATAGCTTTAAATATAATGTGATTTATTTAACTAATTTCTATTATTTTATTTTTCTAGATTATGAATCTTTACAAAGGATTTAATATAACTTGCATGTAGTGGAAAATCAAGGGACATAACAACTTTAGATACGAAGGGTAACAATTGTTATATAAAATGTTTTAGTGTAGCGAAGAAGGGTGTTTTTCTGTATATTTTAAATTGCTTTTAATCATTTCAAATAAAGAATAGATGATAATATTTTAAATAAAAACCAAAATTCACAAATAATTATTTTGTATTTATTTATTTATTTTCAGTAATACAGTGTGAGAATAAAAACAAAAGTCAAAGGCAAAAAATGATCTTGAAATTTACAAATGACTATAGAAAGATTTGTTCATTCAAATAATTTTGTAATTGATACAATTCAATATAAATATTATTAAAAAAATATAATATAATATATATTTACAAAAATATAATATATAATATATATATATATATATTTGAAAAAAAAAATTATTTCATATCTAACATGAAATATATATATATATATATCAAATCAATAGAAAATATAAAGTGACACACCCAATTTATTTGTTTCTACAAGATAAATTTAAGATGCATTAGGGCAGGGAGGGTTGATTATGCAATGGGCTCCTCACGGGAGGGAATCCTCGGCCCCATCTTTTGCTCAGGCCCGCATGCATTTTCTAATAAAATTATATGTATATATATAATGTATAAATATATCACTTTAGACGAAGACCGTAAATTTTGTCAGCACTGTGCTGATTTGATTTGCTCATCATATGTCATATAAGTAACCATTATAAGTTTATATATATTTCAGTATATATTATATTAAAAGATAGCATATGTTGAATTATAATAATATATGATATATTATAAACATATTAAAATATGCATAAATATATATTCCTTACCTTTATAGCATGTGATTAGGTCAAATCAACACCATGCTAACTTAACTTGATCAACAGCTGATCTATGTCTTTATATAAACGACATGAAGGAGGCGTAAATAAATAGGGGCTGAGATCCCATCCCGCTATTCACATTTGTCAATAATAATAATAATAATAATAATAATTTTTTGGAGTTTTATTTTTATATATTTTCTCCTTTCTATATAATTTATCATTATTTTTTTTATTTTGATCTGTTTCATAAGTTGTTATTTTTATTTTTTAAATATGATTATATATTTTAAATTTTATAATTTTTAAATCTTATTATACTATTTAATTATTTCAGTCTTCATTTATAATTATTTTTATTATACAATATTATTTTTACTAATACACTTCTTAATTACTTACTAATTATATCTTATTTAAATTCTCTTATCTACGGTAATATGAACATATTATTCAAGAGGAGGGAGTAAGTTTATAATAATTATCTATATGTTTTTTTATATTATATATAATTCTTTAATTTTTATACAATGATATAAACATTAATATTTTTTTTTATTTAAATTTAAATTTTAAAAATAATAAATTTCATATAAATTTGTATATATATTAAAAATATTTGAGTAATTTTTTTTTTTGTTTGTTGTGCTCTTACAAATAGATAGAAAACGTATTGTTTATTTTAATACTTCCTTCCTCTTAATTCAAAGTACAATTTTTACGTTTTTAGTATATTCTATTTTGATATTATCTCTATTTTTTTATTGCTCAGAACAATGCGAAGCGCACTGGGCTTCGCGTATCTTCCGAGAGGATTATCTGGCGGATTCATTCACATTTCCAGATTATTTGGCGTGCTAGGATTCTTCTACGTCGACATCGGAAGGGCGATTTTCATATAGTTGATGGGTTTAGATTTCGATATCCCTCTCCGATTCCTTAGCCTCCGATTATGGTGCATTAAGAGATACCGTCTCCGGGATGGTTCAAACTTAGCACATATGGTGCTTCGCTTGGCAATCCCGGAGCGGCAGGTATTATCCGAGATTCAGCAGGAGCAGTACTCTTAGCGTTTCAAACTCCGATTCCGCAGGCGACAAGCACTTTAGCAGAACTTACGGCGATTCAAACTGAAGTTGGGATAGCAATCGATCGATGATTGATGCCACTATGGATTGAGATAGATTCGAAAGCATGCATCTCCTTTGATCTCCTCCGAGACGAGTCACTGGACTATCCAGCGATGCCTTATTTGTATTCAACTGATGCTTAGGGATGAGACTTGGCGGATATCTCACATATATAGGGAGGGGAACCATGTTGCGGATGCCTTAGCGACTTTAGTGGTTTCTCTTCCAATTGGACGGACACTTCTCCCGATAGATATCCCTTCATCGATTAGAAGTCTTCTTCGAGCGGATACAGACGGTCTCCTGACTTTCCGTTTCAGGTAGCCGGCTTCACCTTCTTACTTGTCTTTTGGACACTTATGCTTAGACTTGATAGGCTTAGTGTTTGATTGGTGTTGATGCTTTAGGCATGTTGCCTTTAGCCTTTGATACTTACACAACCTAGGCTTATTTGGTCTGCTTGCTTGACTCGGACTGTATAGCTTGTATCAGCAGAACTACGTATGGCTTGACTCCGTTCGGGTACGTAGACAATCCACTTTTTGGGTGCAACCTTTGCTATATATATATATATATAAAAAAATACCTCTACCCTATTTTAGAAAAAGTAATCATACACTAATACTCAATTACCTTTAACTTTTACTTAAATTACAAACATACCATTACACACCCAATTACTTTATGTATAAGTCAAAAGGCAAAAACATTAAAAACTCTTACATGCTTCCACTAACTAATAAAATACTATTATGTTTTAATCTATTATAAAACTCCAAAAAGTTCCTTTCATTTAGAATGGGAGTAGTATTTTCTTCATCCATTAAAAATATTTTAATGTTCCTATGAGTTGAACATAAGTTTTAATTAATATAATATTATATTAGTTGACTGTGATATAAATAACACTACAAAAAAATAATATATTTGTAACGGAATTCCGTCCCTAAAGTTCACGTAGCTAACGTAATTCCATTACTAATTCCGTCTCTAATGTCATTAGTAACGGAAAAAGTAGATTTAGAGACAAAAAAATTTTGTTACAAAAATAATTTTTTCTTGTAGTGTAATAAGTATTTTGAAAAATATAGGAGTAAATTAATGAAATGAGAAAAACATATAATTGCGGTATATTTGTAAATAAATATATTATTAAAAATATAAATTATAGAGTGTAAAATTTTTTATTACAATTGAAAATCATATATTTTTTATGAAAAAACAAAAAAGAAAAATAAATATTAGATTTAGTGGACATTAGGAGTAAATATTAACCTATAGCCTAACACATATTGCATTCTAACGCAGAATAACACATATTTTATATTAATATAATACAATATAATATATGAATTGATAACACACACTATATATATATTAAAGCATATAAGTGCCGATAAAAAAATATATTATTTTTGTTTGCCTCTAAGGATCATATTTTGTTTTTGCGTGATTATATTTAATTTTAAAAATATCATTTGTATAATTTTTTGCAAATATTTTTCTATTCGAATTACAAGACAATTAATAAAAGTATTTTTGTAATTCTTTTTTAATTTGTACTATATTTTAATATAATAATTAATATTTAAATATTAACGCACAAAAAGTAAATGAAACATAAGAAGTGATAACATATGCTAATGATTTACAAAAACACATTATTTCAACAACAATTACCTAGAGTATATATTATTTCAATGTGCTTGATATTAACGACGTCTAGCATCATAACCAGCTCTTAGTACAAATATAAATACATATATATATTACAGTAATATATCGCGTTGTTCATTGCGAGTAGAGTGCAGAGACATAAAAATGGGTTTTCTGTTACTAAGCTTAGTTCTAAGCAGCTTTCTAATCACTGCTGCTTCAATCTTAAACTCGCCGCCGCCGCTGCCGTGCAACTACACCGCCATATACAACTTCGGCGACTCCAACTCCGACACCGGCGGCATCGCCGCCGCCTTCTATCCACCGCTTCTACCCTTCGGTGAGACTTTCTTCCACAGACCCGCCGGAAGGGCTTCTGATGGCCGCCTCATCATCGACTTCATCGGTACCAATACATATCCATACATTCATATCACTATTTGCAAATAATATATATATATATCGCTGATGAATTAATTTATTTATTAATTAATTCAGCTGAAAAGCTGGGGTTACCATACCTAAGTCCGTACTTGGATTCAATCGCGTCCAACTTCCGGCGCGGCGCCAATTTCGCGACCGGCGGAGCCACCATCCAACGGCCGAATTCGTCCTGGTTCGTGGACGGCCTGAGTCCTTTCAATCTGGAAATTCAAGTGGAGCATTTCAATCAGCTGAAAGGCAGATCAGCTTACTACTACAATCAAAGTGGAAAGGACAACGACGAGATCGTGAAAAGGCTGTCCAACCCGGAGGACTTGGGGAGGGCCCTCTTCATATTAGACATAGGCCAGAACGACATCGCCGCCGCCGCCGCCACCTTGACCCGCCCAGCCGCCGTCGCCGGAATAGTCGACCAGTTCATCCACCAAATTGGGGTAATCATCCATATACATTTGGCAACATCGATATTACTATTTATTGATTATTTATGTCATAATCGATCAGATCCTGTACGGACTAGGCGCGACGACATTCTGGATACACAGCACCGGGCCCTTCGGCTGCCTGCCGGCGGTAATATCAAAATCGAAGAACGCCGACGACGAGGACGAGTACGGGTGCGTCCGGAGCTTGAACAGGATAGCTATGGAGTTCAACAGGGAGCTCAAGTCCAGGATCGGGGAGCTACGTACACGCCTCCCACGCGCCGCCGTCGTGTACGTTGACATGTACGCCGCTAAATACGGCCTCATCTCGGACGCCGCCGCTCAAGGCATGCATCTGCAACTTCTTAATTAATTAATTACCTTAATTAATAAGATTAATTACTCATCAATCAGTATAATAATTAATCAACAAATATATTTAATGCAGGATTCGAAGATGGCAGGGTGATATGCTGTGGATACCATGGAATGAGTTACGACATATGGTGTGGGAAAAATGGAGCGTTGGAAAACGGGACAAATGTGTATGCAGATTCTTGTAAGAACCCTAGGCGAGTAATCAGCTGGGACGGGGTGCACTACACCGAAGCGGCTAACCGTTGGTTTGCGGACCGTATCGCCGATGGTTCCTTGTCGGATCCGCCGGTGGCGCTCGCAACAGCTTGCCACATGCACGCCACGCCAATAACTAATTAATTAAGTTAAGTAATTAATATCCTCAATGATTATTACAGTAGGTTACATTATAGGATTTATTATTATTATTATGACATATGTAATGAGTGAGTGCACTGCACTGCACTCAAAGTGTCAAACTTATCTTGGTCGGTATGTATGGAGTATTGTTTGTGAAGCAAACGGGCAACTTATTTGATTAGTTGCCGAAGGTGCGTTTGGTGGGCTTCAATATATATATATATATATATATTAAGCACAGCATATTATAGTAGAACAAATCGGTTGAACTAATCAATTTAATTTATTTTATGAGTTTAAATTTATTATATTTTAAAATTGAGAAGAAATATATGAGATTGAAAAATTAATTAATTGAGCTTTAAGAAAGTGAAACTAAATGTAATTGTAGCTTAGTTAATTAATTAAACCAATACATCCTTAAATAATAATGTTATTAAATTGTGTAATATGTAGCAAAAAGTATGGTCGGATATGTTTGTGCCACTAAGCCAGTCGCGCCGCTCGCCTGGAGTTGCTATACTACTTTGGCTAACATTATTGCTATCCCAGTTGCCACTTTTGGAGTTGCCACTTTTGGAGTTGCTGCATCATTGCTGCCTAATGGACAAATTGTATATTCAAAATTTAAACTTCCCCTGGACGTCCATGAGAATATTTTTTTGCAATATTTTCAAACAATCTAATTAAGAAAAACAATTAAGGGAGGCTTCGCTTATTATTTGAGATGAGATTTCAATGGCACAACAAGAACTTATAGAAGTTTGGATAACACTTTACAAGATATAACCGATTGCACTGAAGATTCTGGATGGAAAGTAGTTATATTTGGGGGCGATTTCTGTCATTTAACTCCAGTAATACCAAATGGAACTAAGGAAATGTTTATAGAAGCTAGCCCAGTTTCGTTGCATTTATTTAGAAAAGCATCAAAGTTCCACTTTAAAGTTAACATGCAAGCACAAGAAGACTCACATTTCTCATCTTTTGTAGAATCAATCGGAAACAACACATGCTTTAAAAATGACAATGGAGATGTCAAATTGCCTTGCAGTAGCTTGTTACCATTTAACCATTCCAATTTACAAGACTTGATTAAAATAATATATCCACTCAACAAAATAGCCTCTATCAATTCAAATTTCTTTGTCAATCGTTCAGTTCTAACTACAACAAACGAAATGATAGATGAAATCAACAATCTTGTTTTACCCAATCTTCCAGGAGATCCAGTTACTTCTATTGGTCATGATGTTACTAAAGATACAAGTCAACAAGCACATTTCGAAGACAACCTTTCTACATTAACGCCAAACGAAATGACTCCACATGGTTTAAATCTTAAAAAAGGAGCACCCATAATGTTGCTATGAAACCTCAATCCATGTAATGATTTATCAAACGGGACCCATTTGATATGCAAAATAATAACACGAAATATTCTTGAGGCTGGAACAATTACCGGTCCTTGTTCCGGAGAAATATGCTTCATACCTCGTATCCCGTTATAACCAAAGAACGTCAAGCCTTCCTCCATAAATTTTACAAGGACACAATTCCCAGTTAATCTATGTTTCGGCATGACAATTAACAAAGCACAGGGGCAAACTTTAGAACATATCAGCGTTTACCTTTCTGATCCCGTATTCATGCATGGGATGCTCTACATAGCTTTATCATGTGCAAAATCATACACCTCCTTACATATCGTTGTCCGATCCTGAGTGTTGACTGGCACAATGGTTGAGTCGACAAAAAACATTCCTACTCTTGCCTTAACACATGGTACACACGTTATTCCCCGTACAACTAAGTTAAGTTGTACAGTTTGCATAAAGGTATCCATCTATATGCTATGGTTCTACAAATGTTTGGCTAGGAACCCGTTGATAAAAGTGTATGCCTAACTTTTAAAGGCAATGAGTTTATAACTATATTTCGTAGTGCCACCATATTTACACTCTTACGGGCAAAACTTCGCACATATCAGACAAAACAACTCATGAAATAAATTCCAATTCTTTACATATTGTAATATTAATCGCACATTTTTTCTTCTACAGTTTGCAAACTTCAACACCCCAAAGCACAACTTCCGTCTCACACATAACACAACGTTTTAGCTAAATTGTAACTATTCTTGTCATTATATTACACAGAAAATGATTACTTGTTGTCAACATTTAACTGTAATTGGCTAAATTCATCGCATACTGATTACGCCTTGCTCGTCTTAAAATCATACTAATAAAAATTGATGAGATAGTTAGTTTGAGAAAAAATTAAGATACTAAGTTTAAAAAGCGATTAATTTCTCTTCTATATAATTAACTCTAAATAAAAAAGTATAAACTAATATGGATGAACTGTAGAGATATTTTTAATTTAATAAGAAAAATATTAAATAAATAGTTCAAACATAATAATAATAATAATAATAATAATAATAATAATAATAAAAGTAATAACCGTAATAATAAAATTTAAAGAACACATCAATTAATTTAATTTATATATCAAATAAATTATAAACTACACCTAAAACCTAATAAATTAATATTTTACATAAAATATGCAATAAATATAATTATTAGAATAAATTAATATCAATAATACCAAAATTTGACATAATTAATTACTTAATTAGATAAATATAAGTTATAAAATACGTCAAAATCAAGATTATCACCAAACCAATTAAGTGTACGACGTATGTGTTTCTGGGATCACCGATGCTTGCTTATTGAAAACAGATCCTACGTCGTCAGCGAGGCATTTACAACCTTGCGCCCAGATATTTTAGCATAACAAAAAACAAACCGTTGCCGACTGTTGCAGGCGCTAAGTACAGCTTACACTACGCAATAATAACGACATATGTACTGTCATTACGTACATAAGTTGTGCATTTTTTCCCAAACACTTTGTGAGCAGGAAAAAAAAAATGATAACAATTTATTGGAGTGTAACGATCTAAAAGATTACGAAGTTATGTTTTTTTAAAAAATAAAAAAATAAAATTGTAAGGTTAGAGTAAATTTGAAAAACAGATAAATTTTACTAATTTTAGTGGATTGAACCATACCAAAATAAAAATTTAATATAATTTAGTAATTGAAAAAAACAACATCTAAAATAGAAAAAAAAAAGACAAAATCAAATATATATATATATATATTTTAGTGAGTTTTATTAATCTTCATATTATTCTTTATACAATGTAATAGTAATATTTTACTGAAGGGCGTACCCGCGACTCGCGCACGCACGGACTTTTTCCAACTTCCACTGATAAGTTCGGAAGTGGGTGAAATTTATTTATAATTAAAGCAGCCAAAGCAAATTATTTAAAGGCGATCATCTTTTTATGATTGGTCAATTAATCCTATCATTTTAGAACTCTTTACCGTGAATACAATACAATACACACATTGCCCAATATATTTTTCACGACGATATAATTACGATATACGTTAAATCCGAAAAAATACAGTAACACTTGTTATAATCTGCCCTAGGAAGTATTCAATTATTACCACATAACCTTCAACATTTACATAACAATTTCACCCGCCAGCTGCTAATATTTAGTGATAAAGCTCCTACAATCCAACATTAGACTGGCCGAAACCTTTAAACTGAAGAATAATAAGTTAATCCATTTAATTGCAAACAAGAATATTATATGTTCAGAATACAGTACCTTTGGTTGCGCGGCATAACCCTATTGCATTTTGTATAACAAAATTTTGCATCAGACTTGCACACCAATCGTTACACCCAGTCGCCACCCATCAACCATCACCGTTCAGTCCACTTATGAGAGGAATTTAGAAAGCTCCACCGCACGGCACCTAAGCATCAATCATATCCCGACCATGAGGCCGCACGTAAAACCACCTGTTTCATAGGGGCCCTTGCCCCAGATCCATCGGGCTTTCCCGCTGGCCTAAATCGACACGGCCAGCGCCTCATGCAGACCTTTAGAGAATGTTCCATTCTTTGATGGTCCCCTTCGACCGGAGGGAAATACCTAGAATCCGACCTTCCACATCACTTACCTTTCTTACACTTCGAATATACCACCACTTCCAACCACACGCCATCCGCAGTAACATAAACAACGTTTTTCATCATTCCACTCGTCAATATCACTTGCGAAAAAAGTAAATATGAACGATCGAAAACAACTTACTAGATGAATAAAAGCCAAACATCTAGAGTCAGTTCTGAAAGTCCAGATTTGCATGCAAAAGTACTGAATCTTCTGATGTTAAACATCCACCGAAAAGTCTAACACCTATTGCACAATTACCAAAACCCAACAGAATAACTGATATCAGGTTCTTTATAAACACCGTTTTCAAAATTGCTTTATAAATTGTGATGTGAAGGTTTCGTTCGCTCTAGCGGATGACCGACGACAGATTTTATTTATTTTTTATTTTTTTAAAAGGTCCCACTTTTTAACAAATCATAGCACATTGCTACAGTAAATCTGCCTCTTTCTATTTCCAGATAAGACATCCGCTATTCTGACATTTACAGTAGCCTATAAGAAGGACCGATCACATGATATACAAATATAGTTTTAAATATACATTTAAAATATTATTTTGATATATTGATATATATATACATTTACATACATATATTTATATCTATATTTTTGTATATATTTTTATATTCTTATAAATATATTTTGAAATATACAAATATATATAATATAATATCAAACTTAATTCTCATGCTATTTAAAGGAGGCGGACCCATACACATGCATCGCCAACACGGAACTGGCTAAACAATGGAAGCTCAACCAGGTGAGGGTGGAGGATCTGACCATTATACCACAGTTGCAGATCTTACTCCTCAACTGCAAAACTGGACAATACGTGTAATGTTGTTGGAGTGTTCTGTTGAAAGGACTTCCACCAAAACCGGAAACAACTACAAGCGCTATGTCTTCATTGACGCAGAGGTAAGCTATCGAGCTTATTTCGATCCAATCCCCTACATGATACCTATGAAACAGATGCCCAAATATGCCTCGATCTGTATTCAATGTACCACCACGCTGTTCTACCATGCATTCCACCATGGTTCATGTTTTATGTATTTTTGTTATGAATATTGTCTTACGTTCCAAGGCACTCCCTTACCGTGTTCTATTTAACCTTTATTTTATAACCACCTCACCACTATCTACATGGTGCCAAGCTACAAGCCTGTGCATTCCACCTTGACATTGCGAAGTTAGATGGATGCCTCAATCTTTTTTAGACCTATGACATATTCGGGGCAATGTCAAAACCAGACACCGTTACATTAGAAGGTTATATCTTTTTAGACCTATGACATATTCGGGGCAATGTCAAAACCAGGCACCGTTACATTAAAAGGTTATAATCCAAACTTGCAACTCACATTGAATCAAAGATCAAGCATAACTACAGTGACTGACAACCAGATCAACATGTTCGTGGGTCATCCAGAATTTGCCCGCTATGCCGCCCTTTCCACGCATCTTGAGGACAAGAACTGATAGATAATAATGGCCACAAAATAAGTTTGCATACGGGAACACATTTATCATAGTTTAATCCATCATCTCATATTGCTTGTATTTTTTAATGACGCTGCATTGACTATTTTTTCCTTTCTCTTAAATGCACAATATAGACATATTTGGGGTTGTGATTGACATCAGCAGCTCGCAATAGAAAGACTCTAACAAACTGCGGGAGATTGTCATAATGACAGAGGAGTAAATTAAATCTTCTCATATTTGTATATGTGAATTAGTTGTTTTTAAATCTGCTACACATAACACATTTGCGTGTCTCAAGTAGGAAACTTGCCACTAAACTAACTTTGTAGAATGACCTAGTCGGAGCGGAAGGAGGCCTACTTGCAACGCTTCTCTCAGAGAGGCCGATTATTCTGGCCAAGAGTATCAGGGTCACAACTTTCCAAGGTTTTCCGATGCAGTTATTACTCCTTTTAGATTAACTATGTTCTTCGGTAAAACGATGACATTACCGCTGCCTAACAGTATACCTTCTCTATTCAATAGGAATATCCTTGTCAGCCACATCTATGTCAAACATTCTAATTGATCCCCCTTATGCAGCAGCCCGCGATCTTGATAACTTGTAATAGTACATAAGAACTATTGTGCATATTTCACCCACAACCAATCTATAATAATTTCTACTCTTTTCTAGGAAAAGTGAAAACAAACCATTATATAGATGATCTATTGAGGCATTTACTATTGTCCATCGACAAAAGTAGATTGCCCACATCTCCTTGTTCCCTACAATCAATCAAAGATCTTGAAGAAGCAAAGGTTCTACTTTATTCACAAAGCCTAATTTTTAACTCCTCACACTGTTATGTCACTAATCCTTAAAAATGACATTTCTTATTACAGCAAGGAGTGCACAGCCTTGTTGCAACCTTTCAAATAAGCATTGCTCCTCAGATCAAGCTCTCATACAACTCCTGCTCAAATTGCCACTGTGCAACAATAACGCCTATACCCCAACCGTTTCATTGTTTCCGCTACGCAAGTGTCCAAACTTCTACACCTAGGTCAATAAGAAGTTGCAATTTGAATTAGAATATTGGGACGCTCTCCAATAACAATACAATATTATCTGGTATATGGTAAGCATAGACCTATTGACGCATCTGGAAAGATTAACTACGTCACGTACGAACATGTTGCTGAAGATCTGCCCGGCTACGACCCAGCAACTCTTGAGCGTAAAGCCGACCACGTAAGCAATTACTTTGCAAAGTATCCATGTTTCCTAACACTCAAGATTTCATACCTTCTTTGAACACCAGGGCCCTTGTATGTAGTCATTTATCCCCAAAACATCTGCAGAACGCATGGCATACATAGACGGCCTACACCAATACTGCTACCCATTTCACACTAGAGAGCCGAAATCGATCCTCTTTAATGACCATATTGTTTATGTTGTGTTTCATCCACAATACCCCACCACTTCAATAGACAACAAAAAGACTATGTTGTTAATGCTCTTTTTCTTTCTTCCTAAGTGATTGGACATCCCGTCGCATTAGAAAAATCACACACATTCATATTGGGAAGTTGCAAATACCTCACATGGTCATCTTAATTGTTAATAAAAAGTACTAATCAGATACTAATTGTAATAAACACATCTCGTAGGATATCCTCATGTACTGCCAAAACAGCAACGAGTGTATCAAAGAAAACACGTTTCTGTTTGCCGTGAAGAGAAACAGTCAATAGCGGCAAAATTTAGCAATTTCAGCTACACTATTAATGATGTTCAAACACCAAGCTCAGGTCAGTGTACAATTCATTCTTGACGACTACATAAGATCAACAACTAGTGAAGGAATGTGCTTTTCTAAAGAGTTTTACATATTACAGATAATACGGATGACGTAAGCTCAACGCAATTGGAAATCACCGAAGAAAGATTGTGAGTTAGCAAGACATCATAGACACCAATACTTCATGGCCTGAGAACCTCCGCTGACATTGGAGAGGGATCGCAAACATGTAACACATACTATCATTTTCCCTATTTATCTTTACACATAGAAACACCTACAAAAACACTGTCACTTACTGTTTCCACATATAACACTTTTTTTAGCAGCTGCACGCAAAGAGCTGCTTTCGTTGCTAGAAGCTAATGACACCGCAACCCAGAGTGAAACCCCAGTCTTTGACCAGCATAACAAAAGCCCCGTAAAGAAGATCCACACCTCAACAACCAAAGGAAATAAGTGAGCTGATGCATGACCACCTTTTTCTATTGTAGTTGTAACAAACGGGACGAAGTAAACACACTCCAGCTTGACAGATTTTGTTGAATATGTTAAACACCCTCCCATGTCAAGCCGCTTTTGGAAATAAGTGTATACCTGACGAACACGTTCGTCTGCAAAAGTTGTTAGGCCATTTGTATTGTAAGAAATGGAAACCAGCATAGGCCATTTGTATTGACATAGATTATAGTTTATTGGGAAAAAAATAACAAATATTCAAATATAATCAAAATTGTTGTAGTCCGCCCTCAAAGTATTTTGCAAAAAAAATATGTTGTTGTTTATACACCACCAAACTTGCGACTTTAATTCAACACAAACGCAAATATACAACTTGCTATATTTATGTTTATGTATCTCGATACATAAATCTAAAGCACATGTTGTTACAAACATTAACTAATATGAGGTCAGCCATCCTACTTTGGGGTTTGTCATAACTCAAATACCCTTTTAATCCACCCTAGTTTCTATGAGCACCCAAATGAAAAAAGGTTTTCATTTTGGACCTTATATTCACTACCAAAAAAATGACTTTTTGTAGTAGTTAAATATTTGTAACGAAAACTCAATTTTTGTGCAAAATAACCTTTTGTGTCGACTTTGTTACAGATTTTGACCGCTTCTAAAAGTTGCGGTACAAAAAGTCTTTGTCGCAACAAAAACCGTAACAAATAAGTGGCGGTCAACCCTCAAAATAAGCACGTTTTAATTGTATTTGTTACATTTTTTTTTGTACGTAACAATAGAATCGATCATATTTTTAGAACGACATATATCCGTAATAAATAATACGGCACAAAAGTTAAAATCTTGTCAGAAAACTATTTGTTACGACATATGTCCGGAATGAAAAACACGGTACAAAAGTGGCATCTTGTTAGAAAATATTTTGTGATGAAAATTTGTCCGTAATAAAAATTGCGTTACAAAACTAAAGTTCTTTCAGAGAACTATTTGTTAAGAAATTTGTCCATAACAAAACAGTTGGTACAAAAGTCATGCGACCGTAAAACACCATTTGTACCGGTCATTATCCGTAACTAAAAAATACTCTTTTTGTATCAAATAAGGGTTTTGTAGCTACAAATAAAATGCTATTGTCTAAAGTAGTATTTGTTACAGATCCAATTGCGTGACAAATAACTTAAAAAGATAATTTTATCATAACTAATCCAGAATCCTTGTCCATACCTACAAAACGACATCAATCCGACGACATTCATAGTCATGCTCAAAATAGAATATTAGGCATCAACAATGCTTTAAAGCATCCCAAAAAACCACCATGTCGTACAACATAACAACCAACTAACAATCTTATAACATACGATCCCCACATCCATTAAGTAATAGCTTATAGATAACTTCGGTATCAAACTGCAATACAATCTTAAGGCGTGTGAATAAAGACAACTACGAACTACCAAACTCGTCGAGTGCAGAATCACTGATGAAGCAATCAGGGGCGGCAAACCAACTGCAATGAGTTTTCAATGATATATAAGAATTTATATCAATTGAAGTAATTTAATTCCCAAAATATCTAAAAATGCATAAATCCTTGTAAGTCACTCGATGTTATCTCCGTTGAGTACCTCACTGAGGATCTTCACACCCACCTTAGTTGGAAAAATAAGCGGTCTCCAGGATTGTAACAGCTATAACAAATACATTAACAATTACTAGGATATCACTTATATAAAATGCAGTTGATAAGTTTCGATCAAACCGTTACAAAAAATAATTTTAGGGATAAATCATGGAGTAAATAAGTTATGTTTTATAATATCAAGAACAATAAGAAAATAATCATACTAGAGGTAACCCCTCAACTAATGATAAAGCCATGTCAAAAACCTTCCTAGAAAAGTACGCAAAACCCTATCATAGAGGGAGATAGATCAGCTTTAAATAGCGATCAAAATCAGTTGACAAAATTTTCAGTCCAACTTATCTGATAAATTCTATTCTACTAAATATTTTCCAAATTGCATGTGGTACTTACTACACATAAACACCCATAAAATTAAAAGTTAGATAAACAGTGATTGCTAATTGTAAAATTAGTCAGAAAATGTAGATTTCTTGAAAGTATATATATCATATATTTAGCCAATGCAAGAGTTAGATATGAAATTGTTGGTATATTTTAGGAATTATAAGGAGAAATAAATTAAGAATCTGAAACTGGATATCTCGTTTATTCGCTTGAAGAGATGCTTTAAAAGATAGCAATAAAAACTTAAACACTAACTACTTCCTAAAAACTAGGAACAACCATAACTAAGTTATTTGAAGTAGTCCACAATTTTAAAAACTGAAACATAAATAAAATAAAGAAAATAAAGTTGCAGTAGAAGACTAAAGCATAATTTCAACATTATCAACCAAATTCCTAATAATAAGAAAATGATTCGTGGAGCAGCAACTCATCTTAATAAAAACAAATACCCAATAAATAATTATTTACATAAAAGTACCCACTTGTAAGTATTATGTTAGCTAAAATTAAATGCTTAAATTACACATAAATAATGTTAACTACATTATTCAAGCACAATAGAAAGCGATTGATTCGAGAAAATAACATATTTCATAACTAATTTTATTACAAAGAAATAAATTAATTTGACTCATCATAAATTAAGCAACATAAATAAATAACATATATAAATTTAAAATAAATATGAATAATATAGGCTAAAATACTTTAAGCCTACATAAATTAATTATAGCACACATTATTTATTGTGGATAAAACTAGAATTTAGATAAGGACAAAATACAAGCAACTAAACTAATTCTATTGACAAGTAATGACTCAATTAACAAGATCTACTGCAGAAGCCTATTGAGACTATTGGCAAAATACTATTATAACTACATTAAATAATCAAATATACAGTAGGGTTATACTAATCTAACAAATTAAGCTATTTACATATCAACTAGTGCAAACTAAGCAAGGAGTAGCAATATCAAACTAATCTAATGAAAACAACATATTATATTAATGCAATCAATATATGTATTAACTGAATACAAAGTACCAACAGGCCATACATATTTACACTTAATTATACAAGGGAAAGCTAATCTAAACTAATGATCTATCTAATCAATAGCACATAAAAGTTTAAATAAATGACACAACACATGAATGAGTGGTTTGGGGCTATCAATTAAAACTAATGAACGGACGAAATGACAACTACAAGGATAAAATATAACATCTATTAGTTTCTAATTATGCTATGCTATCAACAACAGAACTAGAGGCAACCTATTAGGCAACACTAGGATATCAACTAAATGAATCTAATTCAACTTATTCTAAGATCCGCTAATACTAACCTTAACAAACATAAACTAAGCAATTAGATTATGAATGATAAATATTTATTGAAACTTGGAAAGAGCAGCAGATTGATCAATTCAATCTAAAGGAATAACAACACTTAACAACAAGAAGAAAGACAAATCTACTATGAATACTAGCAGTAGCTAGAATAGGAAAATAATAGCATCACTTAATAACTTGGTATAGCTAAGGAGGAGAAATCAAATTAAATAGGCTATTTAACTAACAATCAGCAGGGTTTAGTACCAAGGGAAAACAAGCAAAAACTCCCCTGATTTATCTTGTTGCACCCAAATTTACAAAAGTTTTTGTGGTGACAATTAAACTTCCCTCCTCACAATTGCATTATTGTTCGTCCTCGAACAACCCCGATTAGGTTTGGGAAGGGCTGCAATCAAACCAAACAACAATTATAAATATTCAATATACTAATTCAAGAACTAAGACTTGATGCGATAGAACTCCCTTTTCTACATCGCAGAAATATCTTTGTGGCTCGGATAGGCAATCAGTCTTTAACACAAATAGGTAGAAAGAAATTGAAGATTAAATGAGAAAATAAAATAAATTATTTCCAAAACTCTAGAAGCAATCAGACACAAATCTAAGTCAATCTATGCAAAAAAAACATATACCTGTCGTTCTTCAACATCGACTTTGCCAAGGCTCGGAAAGGAGTCACAAACGAGTTTGTTGAATTCATTATACAGTGTTTGATATCTTCTCAGGTACAAGAACAACTTCCTCTAAGATATAGTTTCGGAAAATGCCTATAAGCAAAGCAAGATAGCATTCAAGAGAAATTTCATTATCCTAATACTCATAGTAGATATGTCTGAATTGTTCAAAAGAAGCCCCAAAGTAGTACTTGTTTGTTTTGTGAGTTTTGCTATTAAAAGATCATGCACAATTAAGGGTCTCCAAACTAAGGATTTTATCAATCCAATTGGAACTGTTTGTGCTAGTCTTGCAAATATGGCATGTAACTCACAAAATATGACCCAATAGTCATCTACCATGCTGAGATAAGAACAACCTGTACAGAATTCATAAGTTCATAATACCTACCATTGTGCTAATTTCCCTTGATAGAAATCTATAAACTGGGTTATGAGTGAAATTCTAGCTTCCTCGGAATTTAAGTTAAACAAATGAGAACTCACGTCTTCATACAAAATATTACACACAAAAACTACTTATCATCTTCTCCATCAGTTGTGGCATCCTCACGAGGAAACCGATCTATTTTCCAATTTAGAAAATTCAATCAACCAAGGTAATAGATAGATAAGTATGTCTAAAGGAGAGTGTTAATTTATATAGGTAAAACCCCATCCTCAAGAATTGATGAATAAGTCATAGCATTATCCAAGAAAGGTTAATAATGCATATAATACAAAACATTGTCAGGAATAGCAACATTCACACTTCCCGAATAATTTATTTGGGCCACCATCACCAAATATTTCAGTTTCTGTTACCACTATAAAATAAACGAAATAATATGAATTTTATTACACCATTCAAGTTAAAAGTGCTAGGCTATGCTCTTTTGTGTTCTCAATTATATTTCTGCAAAACAAAAAAAAAATAAAAATCATATCAACAATTATTTTTCTTTTAAAATATTATATCAAAAACCTAGTCTTCAATACCCATTTTACGTTCAAATTTGTTACTGTTCTCAAAATACCTGAAACAGAAAAAACAAATCAAACAAACTTAGTCTTTGCACAAAACTGGATACTGCAGCTAATATGGTTACTTCCAAACAGAAGAAATGACATAATCGAGTAATGAGCAAATAGATTTTATTGCTTGATTCTCATAAAAATAGATAAGGTAATATGCTTAACTTTACTGCTAAATGAAGTCTGAAAACACTGCAAATAAACTCATTCTCTATATAGATCCCTTTCATTCGCATTATATTCTATAGTATATTGAGAGCACTGAACCGCATATTCAAGACACAAACTCATCGATAGATTGATTAAACAACAGTAACAAACCAAATATCCCAATTTCACACCCTCACGTATCTCTTTCAAAATAAGGAGTGCTATCATTGTCTCCATCTTCTTCATCCCTCTCACAACCTCAATTGACAAAACACATAAGGAAATCAGCAAGCATAGCTCATCAAAACAACAAGATTATGTCACAAAAATAGCACAGCATAGCAATCCCTTGATCCCTTGATTTACTCTATCACCATGGCACTGGTCATCCTCCCAAACGCAAAGAAACCTTGATCCCTTGATTTACTCTACCACCATGGCACTGGTCATCCTCCCAAACGCAAAGAAACCTTGATCCCTTGATTTACTCTACCGCCATGGCACTGGTCATCCTCCCAAACGCAAAGAAAAGTTAAGAAAGATACAGGATGGCATAAAAGTTAAGCACTTATAAGGTAAGAAGAGATCCACCATTCTTCAATGAAAATCCCTTCAATTTCACAAGCACGAAAATACCGAAAAAACAACCTGAGCTACTCCAAAGGCAATGCCCAGAATGTTCTTACACATTTTCACTCCTAAATATTTAAAATTACTAAAGAAAAGGAAGTGGACGTTTTGTACACAATAGAATACCTAGGTTTTTATCTCTTGTCGATCTTTTGAGCACAGGGTCGCGGCTTGGAAGATTTACACCACCAATCACTCGAAGAATGACGACCGTCCAACCACGTCGGCGAGGGAAAGGTAGACAACAGTCATTCTTGGCCTACCTCGAAGCGAAGAGCACCTTTTGTGGATCGGAGATCAATTTGGAGCGATGAAAGATCAATTTGGGATAATATGAGGTTGAAATGTGAATTTGTCTAACACATTTGTTGTATGTATGAGGATATTTATGGTAGAAGCGTTAACATGCTTTTCAATTTTTATTTTATTTTATTTTATTTTTGATTTTTCTAAATATATATAGTTTTTTTTTAATTGAAATATTATAAATATAATATTGATTTTTGTTACGACTTGAATTGCGTAACAAATAAGTATACAACTATATTTTGTATTATATGTAAATATTATGGATGGTTTACCGAAACAAATAATTTTATATTTTGAATTTTATAAAAATTTAATATAAAATGTTCTTCTTTTTAATAATTATAATATTACTCTTTTTGTTACAAGTTGAATTACGTAACAAATATATTTAGCACGAAATTTCGTCCTATATGTAGCTGTTACAGATAACTAATCGAAACAAATAAAAAATTTGTTGACCAACATTAAAACTTTTTGAACCGACAAATTTCGTAACAAAAACATCTTTTTGTTACGGATTTATTGTTACGGTCAGTTTACCTGCTACAAAAGGTCCTTTTTTTTTTAATTTGATAGTGATTGCTCCCTTGTATGTTTCTTTTACTTTTAAATATTATTGTTACTAAAATAAATTTTATTTGCTAGAAAATAGTATACATATTGATATAATTTTGATTTTTCCAAATTGTAAAACAATTTTTATCTTTTAAAGCATATTGAATATCATTCATAATAAGGGTTGCGACCACACCTAAACCAACAACGGTCCTTCCCATCATATAGCACAAGTAATTGGGTTTTGCGTGCAGAACCTGTCTGAAATCTCGACACTTGCATACAAACAAGAAGTGAATCAACTATTTTCACACACATTACAATCACCGACGAGGTAAGCATCTTAAGAAAACCAATGACTTTGAAATATATCATAAATTGTTTATATGAAATAATAAAAAAGTGTTGTATCATAAACTAATTCACCATTACCTAAGAGGGATTTTATCGTCAATATTTCGTCGATCTTCCTAGCTGCCACCTCATCCCCGTGAATTCGATTCAGTATTCATCTTAGCAAGGTAACAAGACAATCTCAACAGTCTGGGCATAAATAATCACTGATTCAACTCATTGTGTTATAGAATGAACTTCCAGTCCATTGCTTCAAAACCACACATAACCAATTCTTACTGAAAAGGAAAAATAAATAATTAAACAATTAAGTATTTATTTATTATTACCAGCCAATGCCATCCACCATGACCTACAGCTTACTTCACAGCTCATTGAATCCCTACCAACACAAACTTGGTATGGTTGTTACCAGTCACCACAACCTCCGTGTGTCGAGGAAGCAGCCAGAGCTCTTCCTCCCTACTACCGCCACAACTATGCAGCTGCGAAAAGTGAGAAGACATTCCGCCATTGCTCACCATTGATGCTGCTCCTAGCAATTTCCATATCGGTGAAAACGGTCGTTCTACAGAATTCTCATCATCTAATCGGTGAAACCAGTTGTCGTACATATTTCTGGTGATTCTCCATCAGTGATCCTTCGCGCTACCAAAAAATATTGTTTTCTTCATCAGTGATCCGCCTTGTCCATCGTTGTTCCTTCCCTTCCTCCCAGGCACGATCAACTTCTCTATTGCTTTCTCCATCATCAGTGATCCTTCCCTGCTACCGGATTCTATCAATTTCTGTAAAGGCAAGTAATACTGCAGATACATGAGGCATTGGCTACTAACATAGAATGACAACTTCATTTTAAAGTTGTTACTTGTTTTTTATTTAATTCCAGAAAGTGTCATTACGTTTTCTTCTTTCTCTTATAATATATATATATGTACAATCTATTTATTATACTTAATAACAAAAAACACCCAGAATATTCTCGTCTCTATTTGTTTCTTCTTTTCTCTTGTTGGTTGGGTTGTTCTTCATGGTATCAGAGCAGGTTCTCCTCTAGCTCTCTCTTCTATGACGTCTGAACTCAACAATCAAGCTGCTATGTCTGCTGATTCTACAGTTCAGCAAACCAGTAACTCTTCTATTCGTGAGGAATTTTTTATTTTCTCTGGTGACCATCCAGGGTTAGCTCTCATCACTATTCAGCTGAGTTCTTCCAACTGGATCGCTTGGAAGGTTGCAGTAAAGGCTGCGTTAAGCTGCAAATTTAAGGAAGGATTTATCGACGGTACTATTACTCCACCGTTAGTGACTGATCTAGAATACAGGTATTGGCGTAAAGCTGATAATTTGGTTCTCATGTGGCTTAAGAGTTCTATTGCGCCTGAAATTGCCAGATCCTTTGTCACACTCCCTCGGCTCGTGATTTATGGCTCGAACTTGAAGATCGGTTCGGTCGTGTAAGTGGACCTCAACTTCTTATGCTTAAGAGAAAGATTGTTAATCTCTCCCAAGGTAACAACACTATCACTGAGTATTTTGGTTCGTTGAAATCTCTTTCGAGTGACTTTCGTGCTTCGCAACCTTTTCCTAATTGTGATAAATTTGTGCTGCAACTATTGAGAATTGAAGATGAGTGGATGCTATTGGTTCAATTATTAATGGGGTTTAATCCTTCTTATGAACATGTCTGCAATCAAATTCTCATGATTGATCCTCTACCCCTGTGAGTGTTGCTTATGGAATGTTGTGCAACGTAGAGTCACAGCGTGGTGTTCTTCTGTCTAATTCCGTCACTCCTGATTTAGCTCTGTCTGCTGCTGTTATGCCTTTTCACCCAACATCTCAGAAGTTATTTAAGAAGAAACCTTCCAATGGCATCTGTGCTTATTGCAAAAGGCCTGGACACACCAAGAAAAATTGTTTCAAACTCCATGGTGAGCCGGATTAGTATAAAGAGTTCATCGATAAGAAAAAAGGGAAAAAGTGTTGTTGCTGCAGTGCTCAATTCAACTTCTAAAAAAGAGATCAAATGTGAAGAGCCTTCATCTTTTTGTCACCAAATATGAGATTAAAGATATATTCAAAAGGTTAATGCAGACATCTGCTATTTCTTCAGTTGACAATGTAGCAGGAGCTTATGGCTGCTCAGGTAACTCTTCGTTTTTTGGAACATCTCTCGGTGTGTGGATCCTTGACACAGGGGCTTCCAGCCATTTGTACTCATCTCTTTCCTTGCTTGTTGATCCTAAGCCTATATTTTCATCCACCAATATTCATCTTCCCGATGGAACCACTAAATCTCCTACTTATTCCAGATTTGTTGTTCTAAATTCCTATATTACTTTACATAATGTACTTTACATTCCTGGTTTTGTCCTAAACCTTGTGTCTATTAGTAAACTGGTTGCTGATTTAGGTTGCCTTGCTAAGTTTGATGCCTCTTGCTGTGACTTGCAGGACCTGAGGACTAACTCGACTCTCTTACATGCCAAGCTTCATCATAATCTCTATATTTTTTACTCGAGCTTATCATCCCAGGTTCTATGTTCCACTGCTTACTCTGATCCTTTATTTCATACCTTATTATGGCGTGAGAAATTAGGCCATCCATCTTGGAATGTTATGAAACACTTACCTATGGAACTTACTGTTTTTCCTTCCTCACCTTGTAATGTCTATTCTACTTCAAAATTTCACAAACTTTGCTTCAATAAAAGTGTTTCTCATGCCACTAATACTTTTGATCTTATTCACGTTGATCTATGGGGTCCTTTCTTGCATCCTTGCACCATAAATAATAGTTATATGTTGACTATAGTTGATGACTGTTCTAGAGCTACTTGGCTATACTTGTTAAAGCACAAAAGTGAAGTAGCAAGTCTGTTGTCTAAGTTCCTGATTTTAGTTAATACTCAGTTTTCAAAATCAGTGAAAGTTATTCGTAGTGATTATGGATCTGAATTTTGTAACACTGCTTGTGAAGAATTATTTGCTCGGCTTGAGGTAGTGCATCAAAGGAGTTGTGTTTATACACCTCAACAAAATGGGAGAGTCGAGAGAAAACACAAACATATCACTCAGGTTGCTAGGTGTCTGCTTTTTCATTCAGGTTCATCCAAATTTTATTGGAATGAGGCTGTTCTTACAGCTGTGTATTCGATTAATAGACTGCCCACCCCTATACTCAATTGGAAAACTCCATATGAGATTTTATATAACACCAAACCAGATTTTGATAGACTGCATGTCTTTGGTTGTTTGTGTTTCATGAAAGCTCCTAAATCTCAGTTGGGTAAACTAGATCATAGACGGTTGAAAGGTGTTTTTCTGGGATACAGTGGGACATACAAAGGTTACAAAGTCCTTGATTGCTCTACTAATAAGATCCATATAACTAGAGATATGGTGTTCTATGACTCCATAGTTTCTTTTTCATCCAATGTCTGCCCCCTTACTCCTACTTCTGTTTTAGAGCCAATAATTTCACCCAATATTGATATCAATGACTGTCCCTCTTCTATATCTGCCTTACCCAAATCTAGTGTCTTTGACTTAGCTTCAAATTCTCCTCATGTCTCTGATCCTTCGCCCCAATCCTCTCCATCTATTTCCTCTCCACCCTCTACTTCAGCTCCTTCCACTTATATTTCCGTCTCCCCTGTGTCATTGCCCACCAGACCGCAGAGATTAAGAAAAATGCCTGTTAGATTTCGGGATTTTATCTGCACAACTCAAGAAGTGCAGCTGTCTGCTTCCTTTAGAGAAGCTAGTCAATCACAGGCTTGGAATTCAGCCATGGCTGAGGAACTTGATACTATGGCCCGGAATGGTACGTGGGATTTAGTCGCTTTGCCTCCTTTGAAGAAATCTATTGGGTGTCGATGGGTTTTCCGGGTGAAATATAATCCCGATGGCTCCATTCTCAAGTACAAAGCTCGTCTTGTAGCCAAGGGGTATCATCAAAAGTTTGGAGAAGATTATCATGAATCTTTTGCTCCTGTAGCAAAACAGATCTCAGTCCGATTAGTTCTTGCATTGGCTGCCTCCATGCAATGGAACTTACATCAATTAGATGTGAACAATGTTTTTCTTCATGGGGATATCACTGAAGAAATTTACATG